TATATATATATATATATATACATGTATTAATTCAACCTTAAATAGAGTTTCTGGACAAGAAAAAGGGTAAACAGTTGAAATTTCATTCCAAAATCCATATTTTTTTGGTCTTTTCATGGCTTATGATCTGCCAAATTTGTAGTTTTCATTATTGGTTTTGAGTGTTTATCCTAAAACTCAAGTTTCTTGGTTCTTTGCTCTTGGTGTAAATCGAACACATTTGTGGAGTCGTTTAAATATGTTGGATTTTAAACTGTCATACAATTTTTTTCATCGATAGTCTGTAATTGGAATCATAACTCTTATTTATTCAAATTGTATTAACATGTAAAGGCCAAGTGTAACATATATTATCGTTAAATTTTATCTTATAAAACCAGTGAAACTTCAAAATCGTTAAAATTCATGGCTCTCGCCGCATTGCACGGGTACACAACTAGTATATATATATATATATATATATATATATATATTCTAAATTCCTCAATCAGTAATGAGTTATGACGTCATTTAAAAAATTATTTGATTAAAATAGAAAAAGGTGTCCTACAAATACTCTCAAAATTCTGTTCATCTCTACACCAACCCTAACTTTATACTTTACAAATCTTTCCCCCTTTTTCTCTCTCTCTCCCCCCTTAATTTCACCATCTTTTTCTACATCATTCACTCAATCTTTGAAAATCTTGAAGAATTTATGATACTGATTTGTTGGTAATCAAACCAAAGGCGTCATCAAAGTGGGAACAGAGGGAATTAAGAGATGGGGAAGTACATGAGGAAAGCTAAATTGGCAGGAGACGTTGCGGCAGTGATGGACGTTTCTCAGTCGTCTCTCGGCGTCCGAACGCGAGCCAAAACCCTAGCGTTGCAGAAACTTCAAGCTTCGAAATCAACCACCTCATCGCCACCGTCTCCRGTGCCGGAACACCGCCATGAATTGTCGTATCTCCAGCTACGCAGTCGTAGGTTGGAGAAACCACCGTTTCAACCACTAACTTGCTGCAATCAACAAAACCCTAACCCTAATGAGGCCGGTTCGAGGCTGGTGATGTGTTCAAGTGTTTCTGGTTCGGTCCATTCGGTTTCAATTGGTGAAGAACATCAGATTGTGTGCGAAAACCAAATTAGAGCAGGTGAAGGAACAGAGGAGTCTTGTTATTTTGGTGTTGAAGAAGCATCTTTTGGGGAGGATGATATTCATTTTGGTGGCAGAGAGAGGTATAATTTCTTGATTTATATTTCCATTCAACTTCTTCAGCACACAAAGTCAAATACTCTGTTTTTTGGATGTTTAATTTTCTTATTTGCTTGATTACTTGAAGAAATAGAAGTATTTAACCACCCTTTTTGGGCATTTTTGGGTCATATGAAACACTTAAGATTTGTAGTTTGTTTTCTATTTTCTTGATATTTTTAAAGTATATAATATTAGAGGGAGTTTCGTTTAGGAAGGTTAAATATTTTAGGATCTAGTAACCACCCTTTTGTGACTATTCACGATGAGTGTCATGTCAGATGTTCATTATAAATAATATTCACTATGAATACACAAAAATGGTGGTTTCTGGGTTACTAAAATATTATAGTTCCTAAATGGATCTGCCCTTATAATATTAATATATACAGGCAAATACCTACGCACCCTCCGCACTTTTTTGGTTCATTGACCTCTTGGGAGGCTCCCGTAACCCGGTTACTGCTTGACCAGTGACCATTCGGTCTGTTTTTCTTGATTGTTCTATAATCATGGGGTCTTTCTTCCCTTTTGGAGGTATGGGTATTGGGTGGAAATGCTCTTTGGAGGCACTTTCATGTTCTCACCTGGAAAAAGGGTCTTCTTCTCTTTTCCATTTTATCATGTGGGGTACCACTTTCCTTTCCTTCACCTAGTAAATATCTGTCTCTTCATGTCTTCAATTCCAGTCTATAAATAATATCTTTGAAAGAAAACTTCAAAAGTGTCTTAGTGGTTTTATACTTTTATTCATTATGGTTCTTCCATGTTTCATAAATGATTCTTTGACACCAAATCTACCAAAGGAACTCAAAACAATAACTTTTGGATAGTTGTAAGTTTTGAAGCATACTTTGTTTTGGAGCAATACTATGTTCGGGAAAGTTGAAATGAGAATCATCAACATTTGAAAACATGGGAACCAACTCTTTCATGTATTATTCATGATGAATAACCTTAAATAATGCATTCATCAACCAAAGGGCCTTTGATCCAACGGCATCCAGTAAACCAACCTTTCTAGAGATTAAGGGTTCCAACCACACCAAAGGTGAGGCGTGTGTGTGAGTTCCATTAGCTGTATATAATATTATTTACTTCAAAAAGAATTATTCATCATTTGTATCATGCATCTTTATTAATCAAGATATCATGTGCTTTTATCATGCTTTTTTCGTCATGAATATCTATCCCGATATTTCATGAATAAAACATGAATAGTTGGTTCCAGGTTCTCAAAATATTTATGGTTCTCATTTGAACATGCTCTTCCTATGTTCTTTTGTTTGGGCTTCATTGCTTTGTTTTTTGTTATCATGCTATGAGTCGGAAGGTTCACCTCTTTAAGCTTATATCTGGTTTTCTTTGGTCTACTCAACTATTATAAGATAAGATATTCGCTGTTGTGTTAATCTGTTTGCATGCTACATGCTATGCCTGATTTGATCATATCATATGYGTGTTCAAAAAATGAGGTTTGTTTTGAAGTTCAATTTAGTGGGGTAGAGACAAATAAGATGTTTTTATCATTCTTCGTTTACATTTCTTTGATAAAGCCAAGACTTGACGTTATTTGTCTTGTGATGTGAACATCCAACCACCACCGGACCACCCTACWTTGCTACTAATAATTATGGTTGACCACAATTGAGCCGGTGAATGGTGCCCTTCTTGTCTCAAGTCCTTTTCATTCATCTTTAGCCGGTTAATTTTTAACATGTCCTTTTAGGTCATTTTACATTGTCATCTAAYTTGTCAACTAGTTTTAGGACTAGTTTATCTGCTAACAGCTAGCTTATCAACCAACAATTAGCTTTTTAGCTAACAACTAGTTTGTCAAACTTAGCCATCATCTCTGATGTGATGTTTCTCCATGCCATTTTCGACTCTCTTGAGTCAAAAGTGAGGATAAACCGGCAGAACAAAAATCAGGACTACTAAACTATAATTTTTTCTATCCCACCGGAATAGGTGAAACAAAAATCAGGGAAATGGCCAGATGTGACAAGATTGACAAATACTAAACTATCCATGTCATATTAAAACCCTAAAACCTTCAAGAATTCTTTCACCTGCCTACCTCACTCTCTTCTGTCCAATCCCATCTAGTCCCGTCTACATACCAAACACACCCAATTTTGTCTATTAAGTTTTGGATAGTATAGTCCCACGTTTGGYGTGACATTAGACTTGGTGGCACATAAATGCATTTTTTCTGTCCCAACAAAATAGGTGGAACAACAATCCGGGAGATGAGACAAGATTGACAAATTACTAAACTACCCATGTTAAATTAMAACCCTAAGACCCTCAGGAATTCTTTCACCCGCCTATCTGACTCCTGTCCAGTCCCGTACCAAATGCATCCAATTTTGTTTCGTAAGGTGATGAGATGTGAGCCTGCATGAAATAATCACTGGAGTTATTCTTACTCAGATATTATCAACCAGCCCCACATGGGTCTCTTTTATTATCAAGTGTTTTCTCTTTCCGTATCAGGGTTTAACAGGTCTAGTTCTTGTGGGCTATCAGGAAAGATTCATTCTTTTTTAAGATTAAAATGTGTGGTCTTCTTCCCAGTATCTCTTTGCTTTCATTTCAATTTGATGGTCTCAAAAGAAAAAAGGACCCAGAAACCAATCTATCAACAATTTTAATATCAAAGGGGCCACATAAGGTGTTTTACCCATATGTTAAGTGAATAGTACACAACACAGGAGGACAATAATGGATGGTTTTCTTATACTGCCATCTTTTTCATAAGAAAATAAACTTTTTTCTTTCATAAATATTGATTGTACCCTTCTCTTTCTGCCTATTATGTTTGTAATCTTGTAATGAATACCATGGGACCACACTACTTTAGCCCCYAAGGCTCGTCTAGGAGGATGGATACTGCCTCTGTTCCAAAATAAGTGTTCATGTTTCTATTTTAGTTTGTCCTAGAGCTATCTTTCGAAAGTAGTAGTGTTTGTTTAGTTTCCAATTCTAACCTTGATCATGTTTTCAAGGGTAAAATTGTCATTTAGTTGATGAAATAGTAATGATCACAGGTTTCTAAAACTGTATGCCTTTTTGCATTRTGGGCATTTATTGTTGTGAAGTTTGTGATCTTTTAATGAGGCATTATGTTTGTTATCCTAGTAATGAATACCGCGGGACCACACCACGGTACCTTCCATGGCTCATGTTAGGAGAATACTCTCTTTGATTCAACATAAAGATTCACGTTTCTATTTTAGTTTGTCCCTGAWTAACATGCTACTTTCTAAAGTATGTGTTTAGTTTCCAATTCTACCCTCAATTATGTTGTTCGRGGTAAAAATTGTCATTTAGTTGATGAAAAGTGTAATCATTACACATTTCTAAAACTGTATGCGTTTTTCATTGTGGGTATTTATCGTTGGCAAGTTTGTGATCTTTCAATGCCTATTTTGTTTCTAATCTTAGTAATGAATACTGCAGGACCACACCACGGTCCCCCCCAAAAAAAAGGGCTTGTTTTCCAAAATAAGTGTTCACGTTTCTGTTTTAGTTTGTCCTTGAATAAGATACCACTTTCAAGAAATATGTGTTCAGTTACCAATTCTACYCTTGCTTATGTCATCAGGGGTAAAATTGTCATTTAGCTGATGAAAAAATGCAATGATTATATATTTCTATAATTGTATGCCTTTTTTTATTGTGGGCAAGTTTGCTCACAATTTTACACTTTTCTAGGAAGGTTGGGCAAATTCCATTGTCGGGGTAGACCCTACTTATGAGTGTGATATAAATGGTGTGTTTGATTTGATTACTTAATAAATAATCAAACGATTTTTTGATAATGATTCGTACCAATCCACAAACGTAAATATAGCAATTATCGTCTTATTGATGTTTTGATGCAATTTGTGATTCTATGTGTGTTTTATTTCCGTAACACTATGAATAGGCTTTGATATCTCTTCCGTTAAGTTGTATTTTGAAAAAGATGATGTATCGTAACAGGAGCTCTCGAGAAAGCACTCCTTGTAGCTTGATCAAGAGGGACTTGAATGCCGTTGGCACCACCCGTTCTAGCACAAGGGCTAGAAATCTAGAAGCTTCCAGTCGAATGACCCAAAATTCCATCAGGAGTATTCCTTTGGCACAGGAGATTGAGGAGTTCTTTGCCCGCCATGACCAGGAACAACAAAGACGGTTTGCTGAGAAGTACACTATTATAACCTTTAACCTTTATATATATATATATATATATATATCTAGAGAGAGAGTGGGTTTCAGAAGAGTCCTCCATAAAAATGAAAAATGGAGGAGCGTCCTAATAACCATTCTTTTGTTCGGTAACATGTGCATACAAGTAATTGAAGATGTTTCCAGATTTTTTACATGTGTGCATGTTATGCACATGTGCTTACTGGAAAGTTTACTTACAAATTACTTGTATGTACATATACATACTGAATAAATGAATGGTTACTAAGGTGTGTTTTATTTTTTCATTTTTTAAGGTTTTTCACTAACCTGACCCTATATATATATATATATATATATATATATATATATATATATATATATATATCTCTATCTATCTATGGATATAGGGAGGTTCAAATAAGAAGGCTAAGTATTGTGAGAAGAGAAGATTAAGGGGAGGTTCATATGTGAATCATTGAAAATATTCATTTGAATATGCATATGTGAACTCATAGGAATAATTTGTAACATTGGTTCACATACACATCTTCAAATATATTCTTTTTTGGATTTTTTTCAATTATTCACATATGAACATTCTCTTTTTAGCTTCTCACTATATTTAGCTTTATTATTTACCTACCTATAGATATGTAGGTATGTAGATCTTTGTGTGCGCGTGTGTGCAGGAAGTTCAAATGAGAACTTAAGAACCAACTATTTCATGAATTATTCATAATGATTCCCGTAAAAAATCATGCATCTTTATAATGTATTTTCATTACGAATACTTTACATCGTGAATATCTACCACAACATTCATAATGAATAAAAGCATGAATAGTTGGTTTCAGGTTCTCAAGATACTTACGGTTCTCATATGAATATGCGTTTTTATATATTTGGCTTACAAATTGGATATGCAGGTACAACTTTGACATGGTGAATGAAAAGGCCCTGGAAGGACGTTACGAATGGGTAAGAGTAGAATCCCAATAAGCAGGATGGGATGAAATATATATGATATGGAATATAATTTGGATTCATGGATGTTGGTGTATTTCCGGTTATACCCTTTGCTTCCTTGGTGAAAATGAAAAGGAAGAAGGAACTCCAAAGTTGTGTAATCAACTCTCTTAGGGGTAGAATGGRAACGAAAGTGTAAGTTGGGTCTAGTTAGGGTGGTGTTGTCTTAGATTTGCAAGTAATAAAATAAGTGGCAGAGTTAGTTTCATGAAAGAGATTCTTGTCAATAATACCATTCAGCAGTATCAGGTAATCCAACGTTGTCAAGAATTTCAATTCACCATTGGGTCCATCGATATGTGCTAACCCGACCTTTCTAGAGGTTAAAGGTTAACCCTGAAGTGTTGTGGAAGACCGGGCACTTTTGTTGTATAGTCCATACATCATGCTAGATAGATATCATAATCCATAGGAATCACTAGAAAAGGCAAATCTCTTATGATAACACCAGATTCGGCTCGATTATTGATAGAGTGAATAAATTTGCCATTTATTGAAAATTTTCTTTTGGTTCAAAATCGTGGTGTAACGTGTATTTTGTCCTGTTTGGTCATGGAATAGGTGAGATAAATCAAAAAATGGATTTTTTGTTTAAGAATGAAATCTTGTTGGAACTGTCTATACCTAGTTGTTCATTCTTCGCAACCATATCACATCCCGAATCTGATGAAATAGGATGAATTGAGACAGTATTTTGTAAATATATAATTATCTTGAATAGATTAATCATTTCTTTATTTTCCGATCCCCTAAGAAAAGAAAGATTTTATTGTTTCTTTAACAATTTTTGATCTCTAGTGGGTAGAATTTGAACCCAGATGAAGTTTTGATCATCTGTCAGAGAAAAAAGAAAGAACGTACTCAACCCCATTAAATAAAGGGACCTACCAGGTAAACCATTATTTATCAAAGGGCCTACCCGTATAACCCAACTTTTCTGGGAAAAGTAGTGAAAAAAAATGTGTAAGTTTATTATCGTATATAAATATTATATATTTAAAATATAAAAAAAAGGGATTTATGTGAAGAAAACAMTAGTGACTAATGGTTGATTAATTAAGGTGGTGAAATGAGGTTCACTTTTGTCATTGCTTGAAGCAGATGAAAACGATAAGAAAATTGAAGTCACATGTGATTCTTTTTAAACCCTGTACTTTTAACTCTTAATAATGACCTGACCCTTTTGTACGCATCCAGAATGTTTTTCAAACTCTTAACATCTGCTACCCTACCCTTTTTTTCAACACCAACCGATTATAATTGGTACGTAAAATTTTATATCGTATACTAACCAACCGTACCTTTTTTTGGGTAATTGTGGGTTTTCGTGCTAGCTTACGTGCATCGACTAACCCACAAACAATTTAATATATTAATATATAATGGAAGGTTAAAATAAAAAGATTAAACATCTTGAAAAGGGTATTATTCATATGTGAATGATTGAAACTTAAAGATACATATCTAAACCGACAATACATATTATTAATATGAATTCACATATACATCTTCAAATGAAATTTCTCAATGATTCACATATAAATCATCACTCAACCTTCCCTTCTTACAATACCTTTAATCTTTTTATTTAAACCAACCCCTTTAATTTTTATTTTTGCATTATTAAAAAAAAGGTCAAAGTAAAATAATAATAATAATAATAAAATAAATAAATAAATAATAACACTTTTCTCTTGTTTATTTGGGTTACCTCAGAGTCCTTGAGTCTGACTCCATTCATCAGTATGCCATTGAATTTAACATTCAATTTAGCATTTCAACCCCACATAACATRCTTTTCACTTTGCCATCTACATTATAATATTTCTTTTTGTCATGCTGCTGCTATTTCTGATCACTCATCCTGCAAAACATGTTCATTTCTAGGCCTCTAGGCCTCATATCTATAAATTCACAGATATACAGATAAAAAAACAAAACAAAACAAACCCAGTATATCTCACTTGAAAATAGGGTCTGATTAAATATACAGACARAAGAAATTCTAAGAGTGTGTTTGGTTCAACTGTTCAAGTAGGGTAATGAGAATGAAAATAATAATTCTACCCAATATAACCTCRCATGAAGATTTAGACTTATGGGAATGAGCCTATGACATTATATGAAACCAAAAGGTTTCTTTTATTCGCATTCTCGTTAATTACTGCCTTAATACTTCTGACCAGTGTATAACCAAAACAACAAAAGATGGCACATTTACAAAACTCCATCTTCGTTTCAAGATCGTATTCCCTAAAACTAGCCTAGCATATCTAACCCAGTGGTGGGGTCCCCTAGAGATATGCAGATCTGACYTCTACCCTTGAAAAATGTGTGAAAGTGGAAAAAACAGATTAGGTGAGATTTAAAAAGCTAGATATGAGTAAGAAAAAACAACAGAAAG